TCAAAACAAAAAGGACTGGAACAAAATAAAAATTTTACTACTATCTACTACCAGAACCAAATGACCAGTGGCTATAAAGCAGATGAGCGGATCATTAAATCTATCGTTCACAACAACATCGTGAACAACTCAAATAACAACAAAATTAAACTGCTGATCTACTATAAAAACAAGAAAATTCGGAATCTTGTCATGAACAATAACCCTTGCAAAAGAACAGGACCTCTCCAAGAGACCAATGTAGTCTATAAATTTTCTTGCAATAAAGAAGGTTGTAGACTTCTTCCTAATATGGACTACATCGGGCTCACAACCACGACTCTAAGCCGACGTCTCACGTGCCACCTTCAGTCCGGAGGACCAAGGAATCACTTGAAGGAGGCCCACAACGAGACCATCACTCGCCCGATATTGGAAGAATGCACCAGTATCGTTATGCGATGCCCCGATCCTATACGACTGGCGATAGCTGAGGCCCTCATCATTAAGGAGAGGACTTCAGCTATCAACCTTCAAACCACCGGCTTCGTCAGAACTTTGAGATTGTTTTCCGAGTAGTTTTTTGCGCCTGTAAAATCTTCCTGTAGTATCACATTAACGAAATTTTAGCATTATTTGAATGGTATCCAATTTACTTGATTTCGTTCATATGTCAACCCGAATTTTGTTACTCTATGCGTCTTTAACTTGAAAATGAATGTTGTACATTCGAAACGTCGTTCAATATTAAAAATGTCTATCGGTAATTTGATTTTCAATCTTCCAACACCTACGAAGAATTTAGTACGACTTATTGAAAAAAACTAACAAGAAGCTAATAAATAAAACTAATTCTCTGGTCTTTAACAAAACTTGCTTAAGAGAAGAAATTCTGCCAGCCTATACTAGTATATAGTATCGTATACATGGCGAACGTACCAGCAGGATACCATTACCCTTACTTGGCCTTACAGGGCTTTACATTGATAGCTCATCACAAAACCCCTGAATATGGAAAACAAATTTGCTATGCTTCATTTAGCCTCGGCATTCGTCGTTGTTGTTAGTTATATGAAAGTGACACGAGAAGCGGAGTCTTTACAAGTCTATATCATCCGGTTCCGTCTATCACTGACCAGCCAGGCAGGCCAGGTACATTATTTACGATTCTGGCATCATTTATGCATCATTTAAGTTTATATGAAATGCGTGCGTTCGCTATCCAAAATGAGACACGGTGTGATTTCCTGGCTGCAAATAGATCGTGCACCATTAGAAATGAACGTTTTAGAAGTCGACGCGGGATGTTCTTAAATTTTGGCATTTAAAAATAAAAACAAGCAGTCAAATTTTACATGGACCATGTGCGTGAGTCAACATATCACATGGTTGTGATTTACTTGAGATCATTAACTTTTAAGTTTTGCTTAATTTTGATATTGAAGTTCTACTAAGGTCAAATCAATAGCGCGGAATTTAGCTAAGGCAGGTTATCCTTTTGTCAGTGACGATGGAGCTTATTTGTGTGGTTTTGACTAGAGCTTCCGTTTATTATCTCTCGCCAGTTATTGCTATCAATATTACGATAGAGATTTCATGTTGTCCCGTCCTACGAAGTGGCTTCATGTGAGACCCGAGCCTCTTCCAATATTGCCGCCTGACTAACAAGGCTAGGTGTAAATTGGGTTTATGGAAAAATATTGTCATGGAATATAGTTTTTTCGAAATTGATACCGTATGCGATGGCTAAAACTACTTCAGTTTTCCTGAAGTATTGCTCTAGAAAGTCGAAGCACAGTTACTATGTATGAGAATGTTTGAGCGCCGAAACCGTGACATTTTGAAAAAAATACAATGTTTGTTTTTTAAATACTCAATTGTCAATCTTTGACCACACAGTTTAATTACTCGTTCGTAATAAACGACAAAATAAAAAAAATTAGGATGTATCAGTTTAAATAAATTGTGCCTTCAGGCGTTGCCGCTTAGGCCACATAATAGTCAAGTTTGTCGTGTTTCATTCAAGAAATTGAAGGTTCGAGCATTGATGAGAATTCTCATGCACAATCAATTGGTTCATGTGTTCCGTAATTCTAGGTCGAAAAGAGTGTAGAATCGTTCTGATAGTTAGCTCATTAATATGCAAAATACACAAATATTGGTATTGTGCATTTTTGGTCATGTCATTAAACTATTCGATCGCTCAGATTCGGCGTTCTGGAACGCGAGATGCCAAGCGGAGCTAGCCGACCAGCTCGCCAAGACGCCCATCGTGAGCCAGGCCAAGAACGTGATCGTCTTCCTCGGCGACGGCACCGGCATCGCCACCTTCACCGCCGCCAGGCTCCTCAAGGGCCAACGCTCCGGCAAATACGAGCTCGAGCAGTCCGCTTGGGAACGCTTCCCCTTCTCCAGCATCATCAAAGTGGGTTGTGGTTACCTCTTGGTCCCGTCAGTTTAGCTCAATTATAATCGGTTACGAAACAAAACTCAATTAAAACAGTGAACAGTTACAACAGTTGACCAAAGAAAGGTTTTGTCAACGTTACTAAAAAGGCGGTTGACCATCAACAAGTCTGTAAAATGTCAAGGTAGATTAAAATCAGTCTCTCTATAAAGTGACGATTTTCTATCATTTATTTATAGACACTCAGTGGAAACGATACTTATTCAACATAAATTACAACAAGACATGGAATCATATCATTCACTGTTCCTATTAAATCATGACGCAAACAAATGATTATGAATTTGTTTGAATCACACAAGTGATTCTACTGACACATCGTTTCGACACTTGAAGATATTACCATTCCAGGATTCAGCAGTGCTTTTTTGAAGTCCAGACTTCAATGTCGTAACAAATTTTTCGATTTCAAACATTGAGACTACCTTCTGGAGGAAATTGTTTCTGATTCATAACACCATTTCTAATGGAAACTGATAGGTACTGTCTTGCAGACATACAACACCAACTTATTACCTACTTCCATGGATAGACCGACAAATAACATAAGGCATCTTACACGACAAACATATTTTCGCTTCACAATGCTATTCCAAGTTAAAAGTGATAGGTTTCCTCTCGCAGACCTACAACACGAATCGATTTTGGATTCACATTGACAGTCACAGTTAAGAGTGCACGGTTCTCTATCGCAGACCTACAACACGAACATGCAAGTCACGGACTCGGCCGCCAGTTCCACTGCGTACCTCAATGGGGTGAAGGGTAATCAGGCGACCATCGGAGTGGACGCCAACGTCTTGCTAGGAGACTGTCTGGCCATGAACATCGAGCAGTTCCATACCGAGTCTGTCCTCAAGAACTTCCAGGTGACAGACATCTTATATTTGCCCCGTGGCTAATATTGTGGTTCTTTTCCTTGGTACCTGAACTCTCCTTCAGCATCCCGTAGCAATTAGCAGCATCTCAGAAGTAAGTGCGCGTCTCTTGGAATGTGTGATTTATCCTTATTCGTGCTTCTGTTTACACTATACGACCGTAGTGCAACATACGAGTATATCTGTGTTTTTGTTTCCTCTTCCCACCCATAGGTCCTACCTATCTGTAAGGCCAAGGGCGTGTTCCTGCCTCGATTGCGACGGGGCTTGTCCCAGAGGGTGTAGGACAACAATCCTCCATCATCGTCATGACCTCGACTTTCGTCCCATACGTCGCTCCACTAACCCTCATCTTCATCTGCGTCTAACCCACCATCTAACGCATCTGACTGCACGAGACCCCAGACTTATCGAATCCAACTGAAAAGATAGACCCCAGGATACCGACCAACCTGAAAATTTTCCGACTATTTACAATAAAAGACAGCATTTTATCGACAGCATTTCGATAGCATTTTATGAAATTCAAAATCCCTGAAAGACTACAACGATAACTACACAATTTTTCCTGAAATTGAATCCGCTAAAATTTTCGAATTCGTTCATAAAAAAATCCGAGACCAAGACTCCTGACACCGACTTATACGTCAGAATTGAATTCATAGATGGCGGCCATTACTCTCTGGGCTATTCGCTTCAGAATACGGTGGCGCAAAGCTCCTCATATTTAAAGTAAGATGATGTCACGGGCTGGTTACCGACGGATGGCTTAATTCACGGCTGATTGGTGGTCATCCGGAAATTTACTAGGCGTTCCTTTCAAGGCTGATTGGTGCACAAACTTGGTGGTGCACGGCTGCGTACCCCGCCAAAGAGCAAGTCTTGGCGTTGGTGTTTAAAGTCTCGTTTTAAAAATGCTCAATGGTCGCAGGTGATTCCTCAAATCTTTGACCGTTTATTATATCTTGATAGGCTGGAAATCGATGTTCCGTAACTGGTCTTCAGTGCCTGGGCCATCGAATCGATAGATGGAATGACTTTCTAAGTGAAATTTAGAGGGAATAATCAATTAAAACGTGGTCGGGGCATGTAATTGGTTCCTTGGCTTGGCTTTCAATTGATACCTGCACTGTATTTCCCAGTGATCCCCTAACTTGGGTGTCCTAGGGATATATTGACAGGGTGCTTAATTAAAAGGCTCCAATAATGTCCAATTGTTTTCTCGCCCGGTTACCTAATAGTCCGTCATGTCTCAGGACGCTGGTCGGTCCACGGGCATCGTGACGACGACACGAGTGACTCACGCGTCCCCCGCCGGCAACTACGCGCACATCGCCGAGCGGTGAGTTTTTTGGCCTTGAATATCAATCAATTATTTCAATGCCAGCTACCTCAGAGCTCATATTTAAATTTAATAATATTGCCTAATAGAAACGGACATATAGTAACAGGATTTGTATTACGTTTCTAACTACAGAAATAAAATTTGGCCGCGCGTATTTTCCAGACACTGGGAGAACGACAATGATATCGAAGATTATAACGGCGACCCAGACGCGTGCGATGACATCGCTGAGCAGCTTGTGCTCGGCAACACCGGCTCAAAAATCAAGGTATTTTAGTAATTTCATTCACGATGGTTTTCGGTGTAGTAGTCACTCTGGCCTCTTCCCCCGCCTTGGTAGCTTCCAGGCTGTACTTCATTTAGTTGCTTGCATGATTGCTACATTGTATGGGAATGAGACTATATCTCATTTGCAACTATAATCAAAAAATATTAAAAATTATATTGAACTTCATGATAAGTGAGTCTCCTTACCTTATGTTTCATAACTTTTCTCAACATTCGAAGAAGAAAAATTAAATTTAGATAAATCTGTAACGATGCTTAGGTGATCATGGGTGGAGGTCGCAAGAAATTCCTACCCGAGGACGCCGTAGATCCTGAGGGTGAGACTTCTGGCAGGCGAAAGGACGGCCAGAATCTCATCGACACGTGGATCAACCAGAAGAACCTGCTGGGAACGAACAGCTACGTGTGGAACAGGAGCGAGCTGCTCGCAGTGGACACGGCCAATACTGACTATCTCTTAGGTTAGTGCCATACGAACTGCTGTGGCCGCGCCCTACCTTGAGCCAAACAGGGAGAATTTGAAGCGGTGAAGTTCAAACAGGACGACTCGAAACTAGTTTGTTCTGTGAACATGATTTTGAAAACCTCAATGCAATAGGAATAAAAATCTGATAAGCAATTATTGACTGAACCAACACACAAGTTGATATAGTGCAAAAGCCCTAGACAAATCCTTGTGATAAGTTTCAGCGCAATTGAATTTCAACTAGAAACATGAGGTGAACGGCAAATGAGAGGTACAAGAACGATGGGCATTATAAATAACTAAGATGCATAGCTCACAAGGTGCAAAATAATTCGTCGTGGGTGAACACCGCAGGTGACTGCCTGCGTAGAAGCAGTAGGCCTGACTAGAAATCAGTCCTACTGGGGACGCTACATAAATGTACTAAGTTGCTCCATAGGTAGGTACGCACCGATAAAGTCCCAACAACCGATAGACAAAATTCACAAAAACCTGAATTTTTATTTGAGTGCGCTTGGTGAAGCGACCAGCGAACGGGAGTCCTTACGCGGGTGTCAACCCGGTAATACCACATCAGAGCCTGTGGCTTCTGAAGCCCTTGATATACATACACTGTAGTTAAACATAGCCGTTCCTCACAACAGCCCACGACAAGATTTTTCAGGTTGCCCATATTACACCAAAATTTTTTTCTCATTTAAATTTGCAGGCAACACAACGAAACCGGAGGATTCCGACCATATTACAATACAAGGCCAAAAAGCGAAAACTATAAAGTTTCCTCTAAAAATTAAATTGAGATGATCGGAAATTATTATTTTAGTTAATATATTAATATTGAATATTAAATTGAAGTGATTGTTATTGTTTAGGTTTGTTCGACTACAGCCACATGGAGTATCGCGTGGACAACGATGCCTCCAATCCAACCTTGTCTGAGATGACACGAGCAGCTATCGAAGTCTTGCAGCGGGACGTAAACGGCTTCTTCCTTTTCGTGGAAGGTCAGTTCTTCCAAATTGAAGAGTTCTTTTGTTGCCTCCGCCTTTCATGCACGCTTCTTACTCAGTTTACTGTACTTTTGTTTGTGCATCGCATCTCCTGCTCCACCTTATTGCTCCTCCACACTTTTCGCCTTTTTCGTCACCCGCTCGACACACGATTACCACTCATCATCCTCGGGAGGGTTCAAAGATTTGGCTCGCCACCACCTAATAATCGTGCCGCCCACTCACCATCACATAATTGACTCATCACCATCTGAATGGCTTGGAGAGGATATAGACACGCCCATCCGCCACCCTCCCATGACATTAACACTCTCTCATCACTCTCGTGAACCCTCAAAGGCACGGCCCACCACCCTCTCATCACCTAAACACCCTCTTGTCACCCTCAGGAAACATGGTCCACCATCCTCTCACTTCCTTAACACGTACCCTATCATCACCCTCGCTAAGCCTCATAGACACGGATAACCACCTTCTCATCACCTAAAAACCCTCTTCCACCCTCAGGAGGCATCATGGACACGGTCCACCACTTTCTCACCACCTTAACACCTCTTTCCACCCTCAGGAGGCCTCATAGATACAGCTCATCACCTGAACGAGCACAGGTCAGCCGTCGAAGAGGCCTTTGAGTTCGAGAAGGCCGTTGAGGTGGCCGTGTCAATGACGGATGTTCAAGACACTCTCATCATCGTCACGGCGGACCACTCACAGCCAATGACCATCAACGGATACCCTAGCAGAGGCAGCGATATTCTGGGTGAGTTCTTGTATGGGTGAAAGTCTGGGTGAATCCTTGTATGGGTGAGTTATCTTTTGGGTTAGGTTTTACTTGGTTGAGTCCAAGCATTAATCACTCATTATTTCTTTTAACATCGGATGAATATTTCACCTTTTATTCATCCACATCTACATTGTGCATTCTTCATTTGAAGTTACGTTCCAGTCTGATATAATAAAGTAAACTGGAATTACCGTAATACTGTTAATTAAAAAAGCATCAGCAAATTGAGAAAATATTTCATCAATTATTACTGGCTATGAAGGAATTGATTGGAAACCACTAGCAAAATTCTGCGTATCAGCATACCATTTATTTCGTTTACTTGGTTCATCCTGTGAGTGTAAGGAAAATATGCCCCAGCCGAGGTTTTAGACTTAGACAATGGTACGTGATCTACCTTGACAAGGCTAGGGCAATAGACCTTTCTATCGTAACACATAATCGACAAGATTGATTCACTGGTATCCGAAGACTGAGTGTGTGTGTGTATGGGGCAGACCTGGCGTCGTGTACAGAGGTTCATGCACACAAGTTTCTTAGTACAGGTCATCCGTAGACAGGTTAACGGGATATTGGCAAGGCAATTATCTACTTACGGGCGCATGCTCTGTAACAAGAGTCTAATGAGTTTGGGTGTGTGTGGCAGGTCTGGCATCGGTGTCGGACGTGGACAACATGCCCTTCACGACGCTCATGTACACCAACGGCCCCGGCTTCAGGGATCAGAAGAATGACCTCAGGCCCAACCCCGTCGACGAGAATTACGGTTACTATACATTAATATTTTCTGTCATTTGATCTAATATGGGTTTGTGTTTTTACTTGAAAAGTGTCAATAGAAATACTTTGGGTCTGGTCGGGCGCCTACTCACGAGTCCTACCGGTTTGGATGTTACAGGGCTCAGAATTATGTTCATATTGGAAGAAAAATTAATCAATATTAAACGATGAGAGGTGAGTTGAATAGAAAATTCCAATTAAACTTTCTGATGGTGTCCAGGGCGTTCACGTAAAAAGGCTATGCTAGGCAGTTAACAAACGAACTTGTGGTGCTATTCCTTTATTATTCTTGTAAGCTGAAAGTAACAAAATATAAGGACTTTACTTGAGGTGACAAGTCGTTAATTATAAAATAAAGATGGATACGAGCTAAAATGAAATGCTTCAGAGGTCACACTAACGCTCTTGGCTACGGTGAATTATAGTAATGCTAGACGACGTATAAACAAAGAACATGATGCATAGTTTCGGCACATGAGATATAGTCGCAACTAAAACAAGTAGACATAGAAGTTGTACTGCGTCTAACAATAATAAAATACCTACAACAGTGATTAAAACCCAAAAAGTAATACGGCGAACAGACAAGGTCAAATTCGACGTTACTCGGTGACGTGCTAAGCTCTACTCGCGGGCTGCAGCTAATGGCCCGTTGTCTCCGTTCCGTAAAATGTTGCCACAATAATTTAAGTAACTCTACCAACCGTGGGCGCTAGGATATTTTATTGTGGGTAAGTGACAGATGGTGTATGTAAATTCGATTCGAAAGAAATCAATGTGAGTTTGATCACCATTAAAATATTAGGGATAACGAGATCCAGGTAGGCGGTGTGGGAGAAAACGGAATTTGTAATAGCCAGTTTCACGAACAGATCTGACATTTCAAGCAAATTTCGAGCAGAGATCGGGCAAATTTCAGACGAATTTCAGACAAATCAAATAAAAAAATAAAATAAAATTTCAAATAAATATTGAATGAATATAGAGATAGTGAACAAATCCATAAGCAAGAACCCTTGAAATCCTGCATTGATCAATCTTGTTCAATGGGTTAAAGGTATTTTCCTGGTGCTGGATATAGCATTATCCTTGAGAATTGCCCCAGTCAAAACCAGTTCAATAAACACCATTCTCAACTTAAATTTACGTCTGAATTTAAAAGAAACAGTTGGGGTTCATCAAAACCACAATAATTGATTTAATAATTCGAGGAATAACCTGCAATTGCTGCTTTGCTCCAGAGGATCCTCACTACGTGGCGCAGGCGACGGTGCCCATGGTAGAGAGCAACCACAACGGGGAAGACGTCATCCTATACGCGCGTGGCCCCCACGCGCACCTCTTCACGGGGATCCACGAGAATGCGTACATTCCCCACGCGATCAGGTGCGTACATCCTCCACGCGATCAGGTGCGTACATCCCCCACGCGATCAGGTGCGTATATCCTCCACGCGATCAGGTGCGTACATCCTAAACGCGATCAGGTGCGTACATCCTCCACGCGATCAGGTGCGTACATCCGCCACGCGATCAGGTGCGTACATCCCCCACGCGATCAGGTGCATAAATCCTCCACGCGATCAGGTGCGTTCGATACGCACTTTATCCGAAGCAAGCGCCGAGTCTGATTCAGTGGGGGTAGCTATACGTATTGCATATGAAAATACATAATCATCTCATTAAGGTCATATACAAAAATCATTTCATTGCATATTCCTAGGTACGCTGCCTGTGTCGGGTCGGGCTTGAGTTTCTGCAGCGCTGATGCCTGAAGAGAAACTATCGTCTAAATATCGTCAATTGCCGGACATCAGAGCGGATAACAAACTAACGCAGAAGTATTGTCAATTGCCGGACATCAACTAGGATAAGACAAACTAACGTCGAACTATCATCAACAGCTAGACTTCAGCTCGGATAATTCGCTCGTTAATTTTTAGTAGTAAATAAAACCCAGGATTTCGTGTGCCAACGCTGTCGAATTTTATTGTAAATATTTAATATATGTGTATAAATTATCTCTTACATCTCGCCTTACGTTTTTGTTCAGTGTGAATAAGCTCTGAATCAGGTTCAGAGTGAATCAAAAATCGTGTTTAGCACGGTTCACTCATACGCGACTGTAGTATGAAGGTTTTTTCAACCAGTTATTGGGATAACGAAAATTTATAAATATTGCATTCCTTGTCCCAATATCAATTCATAAAAATTTTCGGAATAAAGTTCTGCCATCAATTTTAGACAATTTTACTACATAAAAATCCAGTGTAAAAGATAATAATTCGCTCTAATCTTCTAGGAGAAAAAAAAAACATGTAAAAGTTACTAACTTTCTCAAAATTCTAGAAAAAATAGGTTTATTTTCAGCGAAAACGTTTCAGGGACCAGCACCTTCAGTCACAGAGTTAAAGAATAATTCAAGTACAATTGATCTACAAAATTTTACAAAACCTTAGTTGGCAAATGAAAATCATTGTAAATTGTAGACTATCTTTAAACAATTTCATGCGGATAAAAAATATTAACGTCGTTAAGACAATGTTTCCGGCACAAAAAATATGCAAGGGATACAACATTTGTAAACTTGGAACAGTAGGAGCGTGAGCTGACTTTTTAAAACCTCTTATATATGTAGGTACGTATATTAAACTGTTAGGCGTTAATTAAGGTACCCCGTTTACTGAGCTGGATGTGTAAGTAAGTTTCCAACATAATAATTTTTGCCCCAGCGTTTTGGATATTGATGTAGAAGTTACGAGCCGTCCTACTGACGTACGCTGATGCACAATGCGCTCAAGTGTGCCTGTAAATAAGACAGTACCGTATCTGCACAGAAATAATATCTATATAACTGTCAGGTAACTTTGTCACACGTCATTACCCATACCTTCTGTAGCAACACTCGTGTCACCTTATGTGACGTCGTTGCAGTAGGTCTACAACCCCTGATGTAGACCTACATACATACATATGTAGATATCAAGCAGATGGTGAATATCAAGCATATATCAAGCATACATATGGTAGATACATATGTAGACATCAAGCATCCCCTGAGGCAGTCGCAGACCAACATCTCTTAGCTGTTGTTGCAGCCCAGACATCATATGTATCTACCGTATTTACTTTCTGACGGCTCCGACACTCGTTTGCTCACTCGCGATTGTGTCGATTTAGCTACCTGATCTAATCCTGTAATAACACCTCACCGTGCCTTATCTTAAATAATTACTAGTTTTGAGTGGCCACTCTTTTTTCCTCCTTATTATATCCCTTTGATAACAATTCGAACCGAAACTCATTGAGAAACTTTTCTTGATTGAAACTCGTCTGAGTGTTACTGAAAAGACATCCGTACCTTATACTGAAAAAGACACAAAATTCGAAATTATTGACCAACCAATGAAGTAAACTTTTGGAAAATATTTCACAAATAAGATTTATTCAAGATTTCCAGCTCAGAACCAAAGTAAAAAATAATAATTATAATAAATAATTGTCCTCCAATCAAGCTTCAGAATGATGCTTATAGATTATGAGCTTCTTTATCTGAGTAAACAATAAATTTGATGGAAACTCATTCTGAGAAACAACGTATTAATTTAACTTTGGCATTACTTATAATAAATTTCAATGCAAGTATACAAGGATAAATTTCAATACAAGGATAAGATATAAATAAAAACAATGAAACAGTTCTGTAAAAACTGTACTGTATTGTACTATAATCAAAGTACATAATTGTATAGAAACAAAATTTCAGTACAAATGTTTCAGGGGTTGAACCGGAATCTATCCTCACGGTCCTGTCTTCCCGTGTTCAGGATTGTTCGATCCCTTCACCGTATTCGCGTATCCTAACCCCTCATCTGTGACCGTCGCTGTATCGGAAGCCAGGAAGTTCCTACGTCTTATATGGCTGGTAGTCAGAGTGCAGCGAAGTCTGAGAGCGAGGTATTCGCGACCATCGTGTAAAATCCTTGATCTGCCCGAAGCTCGGCCAGTCGCTACCCTCGAGTTTCTGCTCTTTTTAATATGATATCCTAGCGAGCCCCTTTTTTGCGGCATCTTGCGGCATTCAGTTGGCCGAGGAATGGCCAACGGTCGGCTAGGACTAATTGGACTAGGTCAACCGCCGGCCACGTATTATTCCTCGCCCCTCATTGAGTTCGCCTTCACCATGACGCCCGTCGTGAATTGAAAGCTCAGTAATTTAAGACGTCTCTTTCCCCTCATACCTTCCACAACGCCTGCATTTGAGCAGTTAGTATACGGAATTTTCCCTCCACGTATCAGCATGCTCGATCATAACTATTTTTTGGTAGATAATATCTACAACAAGAAGGCTGATCAAGAAATGCCGAGTATACCATTCAATGGAGAATAAAAATTACAACCCGATTATATCTCGAAAAAAGTGTAAAAGTCGCAGACTTGATGAACATTAATATTCAAAGTTTATTTAAATTTCCTTTCATCATAACTCTTTTAATACAAAGTTCCATATTTTTGTTCATGTCCACCGTTTTTAAATAAATAGCTGGGTAAGCATGGAAAACTCGTATCACCATCTCATTTACGAGTGGAGTAAAGTCCAGCCTGATTTGTGAAGAAACTCTTAGGGAAGAGCCGAGCCTGTTCGAAGCCTCCCGATTCTCAATCAGAGCCTTAAAGATGGCCGTGAATATTGCCTCTCAGGGCCGTCTCAGTTGAGATAAGTTCAGCCTTTAACATACAATACGATGTGCCGTCGGGAGCTCTAAGTATCGGGAGGCAGAATTTCGCCACATTTGTGTACTTATTCAACACTAAAGTATTGACTTTATCTACAGCAAACAACCCAATTCATCCTTATGATGCTGTGAAAGCCACGCAAACGAGTCCAAGTTTCTGTTCTAGCGCAGATCAACGGCCTTTTGTTATGCTCAGTTTAAAACGGCAATCCCTCAATTCTTATAAATCTGGAACAACACCTAGATCCGCAGCTCTGCCGCATTTCGCGTGGCTTTTGCTCATTTGGACCAATTTCGTATGTTGCACTTGTATCAGGTGTCATTTATTGTCTTGACGGTGAATAATGTGGCATGGTGCAGACAAGCTTATCATAAATTAGCAACCGTGACTAAATTGTTTTGTACTATGAGCCTATTGATAAAAGTAAACGTTATCAAGTATTATACCTATATATAAATAATAAATTTTTAAATTTATTCTGCAGACCAACGCGTAGTAATTTCAACCCGTTGGGTATTGGCGAACCTTAGGTGTAATCGTTTGTTTTACGTGCGGACTAAAATTAAACTGTACTACGTTATTTTCAGATATTAACCTCAGTACAACGTGAAGACAATCGTTGATGGTTCGTAACCGACCATCGGCTGGTTCTCAGCGGTTTCAGTGCCCTTGTTAACCATATGCAACATAGTGAATTTCTTCCACTAGTTTTTTATCGCCCTCTATTAACTCTCATGAACCTTAATAAACTCTCTCTCCAACTGTCTAATTACGAACCTTTAAACTCATTACGAACCATCTCAAACTCTCTCAAGCTGTTCACAGTATTTTCTCATCTCAGAACCTCACCTATAGTACCGATCGCTTCCATGCAGCAACATCCAATTGAAGGTAGTTCACTGTGAATAATCGCCAAAACGCGCGCATTAACTTCTTGTAATCATGAGTTTTGAAAGCATGGAGCTGATTAATGATATGTACAGACTTACGCATACAATTTTTGCAGAGCCCTCTGACCGTCAGTGGATCTACAGTTTTTACGCTCGGCAAGCATCGAAATTATTTTTCATGTTTCAAGTTTTTGGAAGGAATAAATCTACTAGAGAGAATGACAGAGAAAAAAAAACAAAATCAAAGTTCCCGCCAGAGGTTGCCTAACGTCCCCGCTGGACTCGACGCCTCAGATGTTAGCATTCCTGGAGTCACCAAAGAATCGCGCGGCCACAAAGGCGCCCGTCTTACGCTCGAGTCCCTCTAAAAGCACCAGATCAGTCGTCTCCTTTGGCCTGCTGTACACGTAGCGAGGGGCAAGAAATCTATCAGGCTTGAAGGTCTTCAAAGATCAGGTCACGTCCATCCTTTTCTGCCAGAATGGTTCCTAAGTCGGCCTCCGAGCTGCGTCCATTACTGCTGAGCTGCCATGCAGTCTTCAGCCTCTACGCATTCCGGCGACTGATAGAGGTGCTATGCATTGTGGTGAGTACGAGAGGTGCTATGCATTGAAGTGAGTGCGAGCGGTGCTGTGCACTGAAGTGAGTGCGAGAGGTGCTGTGCAGTGGAGTAAGTGTAAGGAGCGCGATGTAATCGTGTAAGTGTGAGAGGTGCTATTCAGTCGAGAAAGTGCGAGAGGTGCTATGCATTGAAGTAAATACGAGAGGTGCTATGCTTTGAAGTGAGTGCGAGAAGTGTTACGCAGCTGAGTAAGTGCGACAGGTGCTATGCATTCCAGTAAGTGCGAGAGGTGTGCTATGCAGTCCAGTGAGAGCGAGGGACGCAATGCAGTGGTGTGAGAGGTGCTATTCAGTCCAGTAAGGGCGAGAGGTGCAATGCAGTCCCGCAAATGCGCGTAATTCAAACGAATGTTAGATGGTGGCGTGCTAGTTAGTTACTGGGAGCCTTACTAAGGTTCCCAGCCCTTTTTATAGAATTACGGCTTCCGCCCACTACTGAGGTCTTGATCGCACAGCACCGTGCACTACAGGCAGCACCGTGCTCAGCAGGCAGCACCGTGCTCAGCAGGCAGCACC